AAACCAATAAAAATTATTATAAAAAAAAAAATCTGCTCGCCGCCCATACAGGGTTGAGGTGGAATGTTCAGACGGGCCTTCAGGGCCAGGTGGTCTGACCATGGCACTGCCTCTGCAGTGATCTGGTCCACCTCCACTCCCGCCGCAAAGATCAGATTGAGCATGTGAGTGGCCCAATGCATGGGGGGCGATACAAACTGAGAGAGTCCCAGTGCCGCCATGGACGACACCAGGTCTGTAGCCCAGCTGGAAGCCGCGTCCTCAGCATGGACGTTGAAATCACCCAAGACAATCAATCAGTCGAGGGTGGTCCAACGCCCAATACGGCCTCCAGCAGGCCGGTGCATTAGGCGGTCGGTACACCAGCCAAATCGCCAAACTCTCCTCAGCCCCCAGCAGCACGCGGACACATTCCAAGCCCGCAATCTCTACAGCCGGGAGTGCCCTGAAGGAGTAAGCCTCCCGAATGAGAATAGCCACCCCTCCCCCACCCCCTATTCCGTGATTGGTGAAGGACCGAGCAACCTGGGGGGGGCCTAGCTGCGTGAGAGCCAAGGTCTCCCCCTCCCTCACCCAGATTTCGGTCACACACGCCAGGTCCGTTTGAAAGCCATTTACAGAAATCTGTGGGGAATTAGGTGATGGATAAACTCTCTTTTATCCCTTTTATACCACAATAAAGGCTCTTAGGCTTTAAGGTGCCATAGTCCTATTTGTGTTTGCTGGAACAGAAGGATGTGCTACTACCAATATGGAATTTACCCGTCTAAATTTCCCCTCAGATGTACCCCTCATAGAACCATGTGCCTGAAGAGCTAGTCCAACTTCTGTACTGATGAAAACCTCTTTGCAAAACAGTTATAAGCAATAAAACATGAGTAACAGTGAGTTTTTGAATTCTTGTGAAGGGCATTTTTAAGCTTTTGCTTGACAGCAGTTCTGGGGGTGATGTTCTAGTTTATTGTTTCCTATTTCTCTCATCAAATAGGTTGGGCCATGTTGTTAAGGCATTATTTTGATCCCTGATTATATCACACAACTGAAGCACAAGCCAGCTTGGTGTAGTAGTTAGAATGTTAGACTAGTACTTGCGAGATCTGGCTTTACACCCCCATTCTGCCCATGAACACACTGGGTGACCGTGACCTAGTTGCTTTATCAGATTAAGTTGCCCAAATGCGTAGCTGTGAAAATAAAATGTAGGTGGGGAAATTGTCTCTCATCCCAAGCTCCTTGATAGAACAACAAAAATAAAAATGTGATACCATAAGATAATTCTGTCTTAAGTTGTCATCACTCTACTTGCAATTAGATCAAGACAAGTGGGAACCCACAAGGACTTGCGGGAGGCCTCTATTTTCCCCTCCCCCACTATTTCCTCTTACCCTTTCCTGAAAGCCCCCACAGCCTCTCCTCTTTTCCTTAGGGTTGCTGGCTCCAGGTTGGGAAATTCCTGGAATTTGGGGGTGGAGACTTGGGAGGCAAGGTTTTGGGAGGGAAGCAGGGTGTAATGCCATACAGTCTACCCTCTAAAGCAGCCATTTTCTTCAGGGGAATTGATCTCTGTCATCTGGAGAGCAGTTGTAATAATTCTGCATGATCTCCAGCTCCCACCTGGAGGGTGGTAACCCTAGTTCTCATGGAGGAAATGGCTGCTTTGGAGGGTGGAATCTATGGCATTATACTCTTCTGAGGTCCCTTCCCTCCTCAAACCCCACCCTCCCCAGGCTCTACCCACCACATATTCAAGTATCAGATGGTATCAAATCACACAGAGGTTGTTGCCAGTCCTTGGGTTACCAGCCTCAAGGTGGGACCTGGACATCTCCAAAATTACAACTGAACTCCAGATGGCCGACATCTGTCCCCCTAAGCTGAGAAAAAAGGCTCCTTTGGAGGGTAGATTCTCTGGCATTATATCTGGCTGAGGCCTCTCCTCTCCCCAAACCCTGCCCTCCTCAGAATCGACCACAACTGCTCTAGGAATTTCCTAACCTGGAACTGACAACCCTGCCTAGGCCTGGCCCCAATGAATCCCTTGAGCTTTTATTAATAGAACCTAGCCTGGAAAGCTATGGTTGCCTATCAACAGCCACTTAGTTACAGGCTCTTCTTTTATCATTTTGGGTTTTTAACCCGCACACACACATTTCTTGTTCTTTTTGAGAGAGAGAAAGAAGAAGAGATTTCAAGCTCCCCTCTTCTCTTTCACAGAGCATCTCCTGTAGACTGCAGGGGGTGGGAATTACTGGGCACAGCAGTACAATCTTCAAAGCGACCCTGTGCATCAGAGACCATTGCATCCTGGCATTCAAAAGGTTAAGTGTGCTATAGAAGGAGGGGAAGGAAGAAGGGGAGCTGGCATAATTATTATTTTTTTCCTCTCTCTCTCTACCAATTACACTGTAGAGGAAAGAAACATCCATCTCTTTCTTGCTTAAATCACTTCTTCAGGGGTGGGGGCCATGCTCATTAGCAGTTCAAGGCTAAAATGTGTGCATTCAGACTCCAGGTGCAACTGGCAAGTGAATGTAAATAAAGCCACATAATACTGCAGAGGTGGAGCGAGCAGCTTAGGAAGCCTCCTCCTGCAGAGCCTCAGCATACACAGAAGTACACAGAAGGCTTGTAGATCTCCAAGTAGAGGCTGCGGGGATGGTTTCTGAGGCGGTGGTTTGTGCTGAGGGCTGTAGCCATGGGCAGTTGCCCTCGTGGCTACAACAGATGCTCCTGGTATTCGTAGCGGCAGTGCAGATGGCAGCGGGGCTTCCCTTGAGCTCTAAAGTATTCTAACATAAATCAGCAAGTAAAGAACGTTGTTTTACTTTTGGGGGTATTTAAGTATCTCCCATATCTGCATGCACAGGGGACCCTTGGTTATTAGTATATAGATAGGCAGTCTATCTGTAGCAGTAGAAAAGAGTAAGAGTCCAGTAGCACCTTAAAGACTAACAACATTTGTGGTAAGGTATGAGCTTTTGTGAGTCACTGCTCATTTCTTCAGATACTTCTTCAGCTCATAACCTACCACAAATTTTGTTAGTCTCTAAGGTACTACTCGACTTTTACTCTTTTCTACTACTGTTTGCAGTTGTTCTACTTTGACTTTCTTCTTTCTTGAACATGGAATGTTTTAACCATTTTGCCAGTACTGTCAGTAATTAATATACTATTGATACCTCATTCAGCATTGTAATTATATCATTTAAGAGAGTATTTTAGTTAGAGAATATAGCAAAGTTCATTCCCTCTCTTCCATGGAATGGGTACTAAAATATAAACATGAAGTTCTAATATTTATGTTTGTTGGTTTTTGTTTACAAATATAGGGCAGCACAATTATCTCTGTGCTGGAAGAAATGACTGTATTATTGACAAAATTCGGAGGAAGAACTGCCCAGCTTGCCGCTACCGGAAATGTCTTCAAGCTGGCATGAACCTAGAAGGTAACTTGCAGAGCTTTAATGTATTGAATCCCAGGTATAGGTATTACTGTATGTATATTAGCATGCACCAGTGTTATTCTTGGCAGAAGCTGGATATTTATTGCTACAAGCTTTTCCTTTTCCCCCATCCCACATGAGCTGCATTTTTAACGAGTCTTCTCGTAAAATATTGTTCATACAGATCTTTTCTTTCCTTGTCTCCCCCCCCCCCCCAATCTTTGAACATCACATGCTTACCATTTAGGTGATGTTTCTTTCGATAGATACCCAATTGGGGAAATGTTTTGGTATTGAAGGAGTCTGAATGCAAATGTATTTTATTAACTTCATGTATTAACTTCATTTAAGTGAGATTACAGATTATAAAAGCAATTCTGTCAGTCAGTAAAGATTCCCAATGCAGAATTTGAGAACAATGTGAACAAAAAAATTGTCCAGGACATGACAAACCATAATGCAGAAATTGGATTACACTGTAGAAGACAGTGCAGTGAAAGGAGGGTGGTAGTGACTTCCTGAGCTGTTCCATTATAATGAAGTTCTAATTCCTTTATGAAAAAGCCCTATTGAATGTATCTATTTTGCATATGCTGTGAAATGATAGAAGTGTGTGGAGGCCTTTCTGACTTCCTCAGGCAGGCTGTTCCACAAGGAGGGAGCCACCATAGAGAATTTATGTGAATGGGCAGTTGCTGCTAATTCCCATTTGCAAGATGGCTTCTTCAGAAGGCTTTCCTTTGATAAGCAAACCTGTCGTGGCTGAGCATAGAAGAAGAGGCAAGTATGGATTCATGAGGAACCAAGGTCATTAAGAACTTTGTAGGTGCAGTGAAATGCCACCCAATTCCTGCTCCTGTGGGGCTCCCAGGAATAAGATTTCAGGGGGCAGCTGTGAAAGTTGCGATGTATAGACAGTTCCTTTCACCACAGAAACACTAAGCTGAATCCAACCCAGTATAGTTGCAACGATATTTTTCTACTGGCACATTGCCACCATTGCTAGAAAAAGAAACAGTGGCATTACTTTGAGTAGCAATATAAGTATTTTCAGTTAAGACTTTAAAATGGCTTTTATTTCGTAAAAAGGTCATCAATCTGCTCCCAAAGGTCATCAATCTACTAGAATGGCATTAATACGAAGAGCCCTTTGTGCAGGCTCTTGATACTTTCATGTAAGAGCTCAAATAAGAGCAATGTGTGTGCCTTTTCCCTGTGGTATGTTCATCACACACCATTCTCAGGGAGTTCTGAAGGAGGGGGCTACAGTGGTAAAGAAGGAAAGTGGTGAAAATCACTTCCACAAACTGATCTCCATTCTTGGTGGCTTGGATCTAAGCCATTACATGTTTGCGGTTCCTGAAGTGGTTGGTTAGTGAGGTAAAAGGAAATTGATGAGAAATTAGGGCATGTTATTTTGTCAAAGGTTTGTGAACCTTTAGTTGTATATTTTAATGTAAGTCTAGACAATTCTGCATGAATTATAAGTTTTTCTTTGTTGAAGGACTCAGTCCTGTGCAGATGGGATTAGTGGTGCCCTAGTTTTCTCAGACGGTGTTATTACAAGCTAGTAAAAGTGCAGAGTAATACATTACACTGAAATGCTATCTGGTCCAAATTGAACATTTCTGAGGGGCAGTTAATATAGTGTGTTGCAGTCTGAAGTCTGCCGGAGTCTGAAGGAACCCTAAATGTTCATGAATCAGAGGCCACTTTATCAGATGTATGAAGTGTTCAGTTATCAGGCAGGGGATTGTTTATTTTTGAAGAATAAATGCTTTGTACAAACAGCTTTCAATATGAATTTACCATAAGACCAATTTTTAAATCACTACTTACATTTTATCTTGAGCTTTAAATATATTATTTAAATAATATATTATATAAAAGATGGAGCACCTTAATTTTTTTGGTTGTTTTCTGATAGGGCTCCTGTGCGTTTAACAATTATCCAAGAAGGTTAGCAGCTTATCTTTATTTTCTATAGAAGTGCAGTGATGGGGAAATCTGCATCTGTTGAATGCCTGCCTGTCATGCAATGATTGAAACTTTGACCAGAAGGTCATAGAAATGCAATGATGGGGAAATCTTCATCTGTTGAATTCTTGTGCAAGCAGCAGTCAGGGATAGACAGCAGGGAAAGAAGAAATGGACTTTTCATCTGAGTTCACCCAACTATCACAGACACCCTGGCATACCATTTCAGACCTCCTTTGAGAAACATTGCTCTAAATTATTTTTTGAGATCTCCCCTAAGGGTACAGTTGCCATTTCATTTTACAAGAAGAACTTTTCTGGTCCATCTAGTTCAGTATTTGTTTTCCTACAGTGGGCAGCTATATGCTTTAAGGAAATCCTTGGCATGTGTGGGGAAAATGCTCTCCCATTCTCTTCATGAGAAGCATCTAGAATCTGGTACTTATTTCTGTGGCTCCAAGTATGATTTAATTTAAGCTAGGGCTCACTGATACTTATTTCTTATTTCTTGCATGTTTTCAGTGTATATCTGGTTCTATGACGTATCAGTAAAGAATAGAGTATTTCTGAGTGTGCGCAAAATGTCTTTCACTCATCATTATGCCAATTTCATACAGTTGGGTTTACATAATCTACAACAGATAACAGATTTGACCTATTGTGTAGGCCCTGAGAACCAAAGAAAAGCAGAAAGATTGCAACAATTGGGAGGAGACAGCTGGTGGGCAACATTGTTAAGTGCAGGAACAAGTGCTGTGCCCTTGCTTCCCAGGGTTTATAATCAGGCTGTGTCTTTCCCTCCTCTTTTTTGGCACATGAGCTATTCGTGTTACAGCACAGCCACTTCCTCCTGTAGTGCAGATAGACATCAAGACAAGTGCTGCTCTCTTGACTGCTTGCTGCCTTAGCAGCTCAGCCAAGCCAGTGACTGAGAATGTATGCTAGAGCAAAGAGTGTATGTGTCCACAAAGCGGGGTTCCAAGATGCTGCACACAAGTGCTCCCGGCCAGTAGGAGATAGCAGCCTATCTCCAGCACTTTTCTCCTGTAGGATTGTTGCTGGTGGAGCGAGTGAATGAACGAGAAGTGCAGAGCTCCACCAGCAGCATGGATGAATGTGTTTAATCACTATCTGCTATGGACTTCCTGCGGTGTCCTTGTGAAACCCCAGTTTGAGAAATGCCTCTCTAAAGTGTTCCTGAAATGTCAAAAGTGCTTTTATCAAACAGGAGAATCTCTTTACCAAAGACCACTAAATTTGGAGGTGGAATGAGCTGAAAATTTGTTGCAAGCATTTTAGGCAACAGCCCTGATGGGTAAACAACTGAAATAGTTGGCTGGTTGTGCTGTTGTCAAGCAGTGTCAATGAGCCATATGTTTTGGGTTTGCTATTATTCTAATGCCAAAGAATTTTCTCCAAACTGTTACATTTTTTCCCCTCTGGAGCCAAACACTATAATAGAGTGACAGACCCAGAATACTTAGCAAATACAATGCAGAATCTCTAGCAGTCATAAAAAGCCTTTGGTTTACTGTGGTCTGATGTGTTCTGCAACTTTACAAATATAGTACAGTAGTGCAGTTAGTATCACCTGACAGGGTTAAGGTCATTTTTACCACCAATTATTTTGAATCAGAAAACTAGATGCACATATTGACCAAGTTGTATTTTCTTATATTTTCTCCACAGTGCTGTTATACTCCTGAAGTGGACATATTTTGTGAAATACTTAATGAAATATAGATTGTCTTTCTTTGCAGTTGGTGTGAAACTCTAAAGTTTTCCATTTCTGTGACTGACTTCGTAGTCTATTTGACCCTCACATGTATGAATAACATACCTTTTTGTTCAGGCCCAGGAAGCTTAGGTGTAGAATAAATGTTTTTATAATGGTTTCCCTTATAAGTTCATTAATTGAATGCCACAAGTAAGGTCTCCAAAAAGTCCATGATTTAAAAGTGTGTACTTTCATAATGCTTCCTCTGTCCCACCCAAAGTATTAATTGTGTAGACTCACCTATGGAGTATGTGTGATCACTGGACTCAGTTCCTCTGCAGGGAACATATGCCGTGCTTTCAGCTATGGCAGGTGCTTCCAGGGTACTAAATTAGTTGAAACGGATGGTAGCCTAATGTCATCATAGCTCTGCTATTTTGTCTAGTATGAACTGTCACTGACAATGCAGTCCTAAACAGAATTTGACCTTTTTAAGCCTGTTGACCTCAGAAGTTTTAAAAAGATAGAACTTTTTAAAGAATTGCACTGTTAGGCAGCAAAGAGTTTGAAAAGATGATGAAAGTCTCTTCCAGCTCTTACCACTGTTATCTTTCATTACAATTCAATAGTTTTCTTTCTTGCCCTCTTTTTACTCCAGTTGCAAAACAGAGAGATGAATTTAAGTTTGCCTTTGTGTATTGAAAGAATATTGGCAGATACGATTGATAAAAATTAAAAGGCATTCAGGTGGCATAGTTACTGTGGAAATATTTTTTAGAAAAAATATTTAGTGAAGCAACATTTTAAGCAGTTCATCTGGCATATGTATTCCATAGTTTAATTGCAATGGCAGGCAGTTGCCAAGGGGGGGGAATCATCTTTGGTTCAGCTGTTCTAGTAACAAAATTTTCCTGGCTATGGTAATTCATGTCGAGAAATGCACAATGTGTGTCTCATATGCACAATTCCATAGTGTATATTTTATTTTTTTGGCTCATTGCCAAATTATGCTGTCTCTTGTTTCCCTTGTCATGATTTAGTACTGTGGGAAGGCTAGTTTGAAACCCCCGAATTCTAGGCCTTTTACAGAGAGTTTTTATTCATCCTCATATACCCTGCTTTCCTTTATTTATCTTTGTGTTTAATCCAGAAATAACATTAAGAAAACAGTTAGGAACTAGTAGCCAAAGTGAAGAGAGGTGACATTTGTTGTCTTAACTGCATTTTCTACTTTTCTACTTTTGTTGACTGCCTTTTTTAAATGCTTCCCTAGCTCGAAAGACTAAGAAGAAGATAAAAGGAATTCAGCAGTCCAGCATTACTGCAGGGAGGGATAGTGCTGAGAGTCCTGTAAACAAAGCTATAGTTCCTGTCTCTCTACCACAACTTACTCCTACTCTGGTCTCCCTACTGGAAGTCATTGAGCCAGAAGTGATGTTTTCAGGCTATGACAGCACAATACCAGACACAACATGGCGTATAATGTCAACCCTCAATATGCTAGGAGGAAGGCAAGTGGTAGCTGCGGTGAAATGGGCAAAGGCGATACCAGGTAATTATGTTTGTGTAATATATGTATAATGGACACATTATAGTTAGCATGTGTTTGTTAGGCATCAACTGTATTTCACTCCAGTATATATTGTCATCATAATGGAGTGGTTGTAAATTATGGTATGTTGTGTCTAAAGGATTAAAATTAGGCAAAAAAGAAATATGTCTTCATAGAACTATTACTAGATGAAAAATATTTATTATCTAGTTCTCTTTCATTGTTCCTGCACCATCTTTCAATTTAGGAAAACAGCTTTTGTCTTGTATTTGAATTTCCTTTAGAGGGTTTGTGTCTAGCTAATTATTGCTTTATAAAATATAATTTTTCAAACACTGCCATTGCAGCTGTTTGATGCAGCCAGTGAAGCACAGCATTGGAAAT